GCCATCGCGTTGATAGGTTCGTATGACGCAACGAGAGCTTCCTTGAATTGCTGCCAGGTTTGGATAGCAGGTCGCACCGATTGCCACCATGCAACCGCAGAGCCCCTGAGTAGGGTTCCGGCGAACGGTGCCTGCTCTTCACCAGCCACATGGCTCAAGCGTAGATATTCGTCCACAAGGAAGAGCCATCGTCAAACCACCGGTTGTCCTTTCCCTGGAACAAACGTGTCCAGCATCGATGCTCTCACATGGGAAAGAGATCCCACTACACTTCCCGGAGCTGTAGCTACGCTTTGCTGGGCAACTGCGTTCTGCAGGGCAGCCTGCACCTCCTTGGCTACAAGCTCTCGAACCGCGGCATCACGCTCTGAACCGGCCATGGTGCAAAAATAACCCGGCAGCAACTTACGAGGAAAAAACGGCCTCGGATACCAAGTGGAACAAGCTCAACGGCTCTTGGGCTTGTTCTAGTGTTTCTGGCTGAGAATTTCATCAAAGGATTTTCCTTAGAAGCAAGGAACAACAAAGAGAAGGAGAAACAGCAAAGCTACTCTCTCTATCCTACGAATGTTTTTTTATGCTACTGTACTTTAGATTTCTGGACATGCGGCTCGGAATGCCGAATCGGGTGGCCAGCCCTGACATCGAGCCGCATTCCTCCTTCCTATTTACAATTTGTAGAACTCACTGCAATTGCACACGTGTAACATTCCTATTTCTTCAATTCTGGACTTCCGCCACCTGTCCCACGCGAAAGTCCCCCAAAGTCAGTCAAGGCACGAAACTCAGTTTCGTCCTTCTCACGTGAGTCCCCCACGTCCTGCCCACGTCCTCCCCTGCGCTGCCCACGTTCACCCTTGCACGCGGCTGCTATGTCGCTGCCTCCCGTGCGCTTCACGTTGGCTCCCGCGCAGGTGCCACTTGATACAAATACATTCCAATCCACATCCCTCTCCTCCCCCTGCAACCTCCACTTCCCTTGCCCCCCATCCGTCAGTACACAGTCCTTTGCATAAATAATGGCCCGGTACCCAACGTCGACGCGCACCCTCTCCTTCGCCGTGCTTTTCTCCGCGTCACTATGCATCTCCTACGTTCTGTCGCAGATCCGCAACACGACCAACACGGGCCCCACGCCCGTCGACTTTTCCGCGAGAATAGTGGAATTCGCCGCCGGATACGACAATGCCACCGACATTTCAGGCGGTTCCCTTCTTCTGCCCATTAACGACGGCTGGACTAACGCGCTCGCGGGCTACAAGACACTCAACCCGGCTGCGACAACCTCGTCGGACCCGGTTCTCGAGGCGCTCAGCACGGTGGTGTCCTCGTCGGGATCCGTGTCGGCCCTCAACGGCATGTCCGCCAATGCCAAGAACGCGCTGTCGCGCCTCGCCAAGTTCATGTCGATCAGCCAATGCATTCAACCCACTGACATGCAAACTGGCAACGTGAGTGTCTCTTCACTTGTGGAAAGAACATTGAGACAGTGGGATGCCCCTACTTCTTCCTTTTAAGCAAGTTGCTTCTATCGTTCTCAATAGGAGATGTTAGAACATGATGAAGGCTGGATTTTGCACTCCTTTTCTTTCCTCCTCACGACACCTCGCAGACCGTCCCTTTGTCTATCGTGTATCCTATTCCCTTCCAAGCAGTACAAGAACGGTCGGTTCAGCTTTAGCACGGCTCTTAACCAGCCAATTTATCTCTACGCCAACGTCACTGGCTCCTTGACTGCCGCGGGCTTGGTTCACGTCTTCACTGGGACCGACCGCGGCACCGTCGACCCCACTACTTCCGCCAAGAATGGACTCGTAGCGGGGAGTGACGCTGGGGGGCCGAAAGCAGTGGCGGGTGTGGCAGCCGCGTTTGGAATGAGCAGCTCGAGCTTGAGTGGATCCACTCAAGTGTTGGGCGACACCACGTCGTCGTCTGACATGACCGCGATTGTTGTGACCGACCCCGTGTTCCCCGCCACCATGAGCTCGCTCACCAGCTCCGACCCCGTGCAACCATATGGCAAAGGTATGCTGTGGGGTGTGGATGTTACAAGCGGGCCTTGAACGCTTTTCTGGCTTTTCTTCCAGCAATTATGCCACGACAGGAAGTTCGAGACGCCGAAACTCCTGTAACTGCCGAATGGACACTGGCTGGCGTTCAGTCCCATGTCCTCTTCTTGCTGCGCCCATGCCAATGCATTGTGACAGCCGCTGTCTGAACCAGAGCTGCTGTTGTGGTAATGCCCTGTCAGCTTCACTAACGGGCCGTTTCTTCTTTCTCCTTTTTTGCAGGTGCTGGCAGTTTTGCGGCCTGTCATTGATGCGCTGCTCGTGCTCCTTAAAGCTTTTGTATACATTTGAAAGTACTGTTCATGTCTGTACAGTGTGAAAACCGATTTCGCTGCAACGAAAACAAGTGAGCTTGGCGAGAGTCTTGGCGAAATTTTGAAGCCAATGTGCTCTGGGGGTTGCGTTGTCAGAACACCAGAAATGCTCTCGTCACCCAACTACGAATTGAAACTGACATTCTGGAGAATATGCGACTAATTTCTCAGAAAGGCCTAGGTATAACTACATGGAAGGCGACGAGGTGGCTAGCGGAACAGTGCGACTACTCGAATAGTTGAGGTTGAGTAATGACACACTTTATAGGTGCTAGCCACGACTAGGTCAATCAATTGAGCCCGCCAAACTCCCTTTAGCTGCAGCGCCGTGCGGCATTCGGACGGGCCGTTGCGTGGCATTCGTCGAGCGCGCCGTGCGGTATACGGCGAGCCCGACGATTCCTTGCCAAGAGCGCCTCGACGAGTTGCATTCTGCTCGCTCGCCGCGGTGCAATAGTCGAATCCCTACCTACCTGCCTCGACGAGTTGCCTTCGGCGGGCTCGCCTAGCCCGCTGCTCGCGACACCCGCTTCTCACCTCACCCGCCGCGTGCCGAACCTTCTGCCCGCCTCTCGCGCTGCTCGTCTCACAAGCCATTTCGCCATTTCCCTCCCTGCTCCCCCCCGTTTTCCCCCTTGCTCCCTCTCTTTTCCCCCCGTGCTCCATCTCATTTCCCCCCTTTCTCCCTCTCATTTCCCCCCTTGCTCCCGCTCATATCCCCCCCTTCTCCCGCTCATTTTCCCCCCTTCTCCCTCTCATTCCCCCCCTTCTCCCTCTCATTTCCCCCACTTCTCCCTCGCACTTCTCCCCCTCATTTTCCCCCCTTCTCCCGCTCATTTTCCCCCCTTCTCCCTCTAGTTTCCCTCCCTTCCCCCTCTCAAATCACCCCCTTCTCACTCTCAAATCCCCCTTTTCTCCCTCTCATCCCTTCCCTTCTTCTCCCCCTCATTTTCCGCCCTGCTCCCTCTCATTTCTCCCTCTTCTCCCCCACATGTCCCCCCCTTCTCCCTCTCATTTCCCTCCCTTCTCCCTCTCATTTCCTCCCCTTCTCCCCCTCATTTCCCGCCCTTCTCCCTCTCATTTCCCCCCTTTCTCCCCCAAATGTCCCCCCCTTCTCCCTCTCCTTTCCCCCCCCTCTCCCTCTCATTACCCCCCTCCCCTTCTCCCCCTCATTTCCCCCCCTTCTCGCTCTCAAATCCCCATTTTTTCCCTCTCATCCCCCCCCTTCTCCCCCTCATTTCCCCCCTTGCTCCCTCTCATCCCCCCCCTCTTCTCCCCCTCACTTCCCCCCTTTCTCCCTCTCATTTCTGCCCTTGCTCCATCTTATTTCCCCCCTTGCTCCCTCTCAGCCCCCCCCCCCCCTTCTCCCTCCCATCTACCCCCGTTCTCGCCCTCATTTCCCCCCCTTCTCCCTCTCTCATTTCCCCCACTGCTCCCCTTCATTTTGCCCCCTGCTCCTTCTCACTTCCACATTTGCTCCCTCTCATTTCCACCCTTGCCGCCTCTCACTTCCACCCTTGCTCCCTCTCATTTTCCCTTTGCTCACCATCATTTCCCCCCCTGCACCCTCTCATTTTCCCCCCTTCTCCCCCACATGTCCCCCACTTTCTACCTCTCAGTTCACGTGTCCGGATGCTGTGCATGTTCACGACATGCAGGTGAGGGCGGGTGTGGCGCGGGCGGATCAGCGTATGCTAGGTGTGCGTGTGCCTGCTGATTGATGTGCATCCAAGTTCAATGTGCATTGCAACTGCTCCCTCTCACCTCGGTTTCCCATGCCCTCTCCTCTTTGCAATGACGTGATCAGGTGGCACTGAAGCAGCAGCAGGAGGAGCAGGCGAGGAGGGATGAGGAAGAGAGGCGGAGGGAGAGGGAGGAGGAGGAGGTGAGGAGGCTGCAGCGGCAGATGGTGCAGAGGGCTATACTCATGCCCTTCTTTGGACCCCCGTTTCAAACCCCGCAGGTACTGTGCGCATTACATCGCTTGCCTTCGGGCTCACACACAAACAGTCTTTCATGCCACTTGAATCACTAATGGCACTCTGTGTGTTCCTGGGGTGGCATGGTGAGGCATGCATGGTAGGAAATCTCTTAGGGTTGCATGCCGGTCAGGTAATGTGTATCTTGTGTGCACTGGATTGCTCTTTCTCCCCCTCATTACTTTCTTTCCTTTCCCCACTTGCAATTCTCCAGTCTTAGATTGAGCTCTGTCATATGTGCCCACTTTTCCCCCTTCCTCGCCCCCTCCCTCCGTCTCTTTTTCCCCCCACTCCTCTCACTAACAGGTCTACCAAGCGGCCCACACTGTCTCGCTCCCATCTGCTGCACACCAATGCCAGGCATGCAACAGCAGCAGGCAGCATGTGCGGCATCTCCTTGCTTAGTTGATGGCTTCTAATTGTGATTCAACAAGCATGCATACACTTCCAACTGTGTGTTGTCGAGCTCGCTTTGCCGTACGATATTAGGAACTTTTATGGCCATTTAGCTATCTGGACTTCATCAAGTTTGATGTAACGATTCCTCGCAACCATGTCACTAAATACATAAAAGAGAAATATTATGAGACCGATTTTCTTCAGTACCATGCACGTGGCTAATCGTATGCACATGCATCTCACGCCCTCATTGCAAAATCTATCTCGATGGGCAATTCCCGTTCTCTTTCGCACCCCTCAATGTCACATTCATCCTCATCATTTTCAACCCTATCCTCGTCACCTGCAAAGGATGGGAGGGGCTGGAAGGGGATGGGAGGGGCTGTAAGGGGATGGGATGGGAGGGGCTGGAAGGGGAATGAAAGGGTTTGAAATGGGATGGGAGGGACTGGAAGGGGAATGGAAGGGTTTGAAATGGGATGGGAGGGACTGGAAGGGGAATGGAAGGGTTTGAAATGGGATGGGAGGGACTGGAAGGGGAATGGAAGGGTTTGAAATGGGATGGGAGGGACTGGAAGGGGAATGGAAGGGTTTGAAATGGGATGGGAGGGACTGGAAGGGGATGGGATGGGAGGGGCTTGAAGGGGATGGGAGTGGATGAAAAGTTATGGCAGGTGAAAGAAGGGTTTTGAAGGCAGGTAGGGGAGGCGGGAGAGATGGTTGCGAGGGCATGGAGGGGTGATGTGAAGGCAAGGAAGAGAGATGCATAGGTAGGGAAAGGAGATGCATAGGTAGGGAAAGGAGATGCATAGGCAGGGATAGGAGGTGCATAGGCAGGGATAGGAGGTGCATAGGCAGGGAGAGGGAAGGGGAGAGATAGGGTGGCGGGTCGGCTAGAAGAGCCCGCCCGGGGAGGTGGGAGGAGCACGCGCAGATAACGAAGTGCAGGAAGCGAGGAGCTAAGAGGCAAGGTCCCTCCCAGTGCTGGCCTTTGCTCGCACAAACTTCGAGCACTCGGCCTCAGCAGCACTTGCAGCAACGGAGTGGCGATAGCTTCAAGGACACGCCACTGGATGGCGGGGTTCAGGACATGGTACAAAAAGCACGGAAGGTGATAAGAGGGTAGGAGAGAGGAGAGTGCAGATAATGTGAGGGAGATGGGCTGGTAGGAAGAGAGGATCGGTAGGCGGGAAAGGGAAACGGGGAGGCGGGAAGGGGTAATGGGGAGGCGAGAAGGGGTAATGGGGAGCGGGAAGAGGAAATGGGGTGGCGGGAAGGGGAATTGGGGAGGCGGGAAGGGGAAACGGGAGGCGCGAAGGGGTAATGGGGAGCGGGAAGGGGAAACGGGGAGGCGGGAAGGGGTAATGGGGAGCGGGAAGGGGTAATGGGGAGCGGGAAGAGGAAATGGGGTGGCGGGAAGGGGAATTGGGGAGGCGGGAAGGGGTAATGGGGAGCGGGAAGAGGAAATGGGGTGGCGGGAAGGGGAATTGGGGAGGCGAGAAGGGGTAATGGGGAACGGGAAGGGGAAATGGGGAGGCGCGAAGGGGTAATGGGGAGCGGGAAGAGGAAATGGGGCGGCGGGAAGGGGAATTGGGGAGGCGGGAAGGGGAAACGGGGAGGCGCGAAGGGGAAACGGGGAGCAGTCGTTTCTGATTACCCTCGCGACCTCAATTGCGGCTGCCGCCGCTACTGCGGAAACGCGGTAGCGAGGCCGCGCGATCGGGCGGCGACTGTGAGGACTGTGTTCGGCAGTTTGAGACGCAGCGTGCGCGTTCATGGTGGCGTGAGGAGGCCGCGTGGTGAGGCGACGCGACGGACGACGAGGCGAGGCTGTGAAAGGAGGTCCGGCGGGCTCGCCGCGTCAGAGGGCGGAACTGACGTTGGCTCGGACGTGTAATTACACTAAACTGCCCCACGCGTCTAAGTTTGTGTCTGAAACGGGAGTGGTTTGCGCTGGCTGTTGAGTCGCGATGTGCTTAGCTACGGTTTATGCTGCCTGTTGAGCGTAGTGGCGTAGACCTCACATGGACTGGATTTCGTCTACTTTTGTTATTCCAAAAGTTTTGAATCACCTGTGAGCCCTGGGTGTCGGGGAGATCACCTCCCTTATTGTAAGGAATTTTCCCGAATTCATTCCTTATCGGGGTTGACTGCTCCGCGCACAACCCGATTTTCGGAGTTCGCACGTTCGGCCGATTTCAACGCTGCCGAGGCTCCTCACGTCGCCTTCGGCTTTCCCATCGCCAAACCTGCACCCAACCTCGCTCGTCCGAGGTTTCCTCCTAGCTAGAGTAGTCCTACATTAGTCTGTGCATTCATTGTATTCGCGGTTGATTCAGTCACAGCTTCATTATTCGTTTACCTGCGCACTCTCTTTTACAACTCATAACACCTGGTATCAGAGCTACTTTCCTAGTTCACCCCGCTTTTCCGAGGGTAGTTTGGTGGCATAGGGTGTGGCTGGTTTAGTGACTACACGACGGTTGGCTGCAGGGATTGTTAATTCAATCCTGCCCGACTCCGATAGTTCGTGTTTTCATTTGCCTGAAGGCCACGGGGACCCGATTGCCCACCAGACGTAGCGTTAGGCATATGGATCAGGAAGCGGTCAACAGGATGATGGCACAAGTGGCAGAAATGCAGGAAAGAATGAAGACGTTAATGGCGGAAGTGACGACACTGCGAGAGGAAAACGCCGAACTACGCCAGACGCGAGGTGAAGCGCGTCAGGAGTCGCCTGTGGACGAAGGCGAGGGCAACAGTCAGGCGATGAGCAATCCATTGGATGCGCTCACACGTGACTTCGAAGAGGAGGATAGGCAGCGAGCGGCAGCAGCTCCAGTTGCAGTGACAACGATCAAGATCAAGCCCGTCAATCCACCCCCGTTTAATCCTACGGACAAGACGGTTACGGTAAAAGGGTGGTTGTTCGGGGTCGAAGTCTTTTTTATTGCAGCCGGAGTTAATGACGACGCCACGCGTATTAATTACGCAGTTTCGCTTCTTCGAGGAGCAGCGCTTGAGTGGTGGCGCCGAACCTTGGAAACAGGGACGCCGACAGGTGTGACACATGCGGCAGACGGGACCTCTACAGTGACTAATCAAGTGGCAACGTCGATCTTCGGAGTGACCACGATACGCACGTGGAAGGAGTGGGGCGCAGCCTTACGAGGTCGCTTCGAGCACGTATCCGCCTCGGAGCAAGCTCGCATGAAGCTGCGTGCATGGTCGCAGATGGCTTCTGTCCAAGACTACACGGCGTCATTTATGAGCCTCGCCGACCAAGTCGATGACATGTCGGAAGCTGAACGGCTGGATAAATACATCAGCGGCCTCAAATACGAGATACAGTACGAGGTTCGCAGGGGCCGTCCGACGTCATTTCTTGCAGCAGTACAGTTGGCGGAGTCCACAGATGCGCTGATGCAGTACGCGAGAGCAGCTTCCCGGGAGGGAAACCGTTTTCGTGGCCAGACCCATCGGACCACGATCAACGCCGTCCATACACCCGACCGCCCTCCTAAGGGACCGTGTTTCCGGTGTGGGAAGACGGGTCACTACATGAAAGATTGCCACGAGAAAACGCCACTGACGGGGAACGACAGGAAGGAGCAGGGAAATGGGAAGAGTCAGTAATTAGCGGGCCCTTTACTCACTGTGCTCCGTAGCCCGAACCCCACCATCCCCACCGAGTCGTGGTTCCGATTCATGCAATCGATCGCACTCGGCCGAATAACGGGGATAATCACGTAGATCACCCTGTGCTGGTCGCTGGTAAGGTGTTAAAAAATAACCTGAAAATGTTCGTCGATGGAGGGGCCAGTCATAGCCTCTTCAATTTGGCGAGCGCAAAAAAATGCAAGCTGCAACTTGACAGGTGTCTGCCCGAAGTCGACGCTCGCCTCGTGGACGGGACGCCTCTGGCGATAACGGAAGAAACACGGACGGTCAGGATCGAATGCGGCGACGATTTCGGCTTCAGCATGAAGTTCCTCGCGACAACATTGGACGGCTGCGACGTACTGCTGGGACGCGATTGGCTGCGACGGCACAACCCCGTCATCGACTGGACAACGGGGACGTGCAGCATCAACAAGCACGAGGGGCTAATTAAGCTCCCTGCATGGACCCCTGACTACATCCAAGCCCCGTGCGTCAAAGCCATCACTATAGCTTGTCAGAATGAGAAACGAGAATGAGGAGTGACTAGTAGGAACAACAGTACAAATATGTCAAACCCTAATCTGGTGTACCCCTTATGGTGTGACCCACTACAGCCTAGAACCACACAAACATATAAATGTTTGACACACCCCCATAGGCAAAGTGGGGGAGACCTAGGGGTCACAAGACCAGTCAAGGCAAAACAAGGCAAACAAGCTCAGGGTGGATCTCGAGGATTCCACACAAATTCCGAGCACAAGCAAGCGGTCACAAGACCAGTTCACATGCAGTTTTATAATAGAGCAAGAGGTACAATGATCACAACCTAACAAGGCAAACATGCAGGTATATATATAATGATCACAGTACAGGTAAAGTCAAGAAGTAAGTAAGTGAGAAACAGTCGGCACAAGGCCTAGAAGAGTGCAAAAACGCTGATGGTCAACAGGCGGAAGCGCCTTCGTGAACACATCAGCAGTGTTGGCCTCAGTGGCCACGTAACGCAGAAGAAGCTGACCACGCTGCTGTAGCTCTCGAGCTAGAAAGTAACGCAGAGCAATGTGCTTCGTCCTGTGCTCCAGTCTGTGCTCCTGGCACAAGGCAATGGTTGCCTTGTTGTCGACGTACAGCACTGGAGGAGAACGAGGCTGCTCTCCAAGGTCAGTCAGCAGGTAGGTGATCCAGCGAAGCTCCTGGGCAGCCATGGCCGTGGCGTAGATCTCAGCCTCACAGCTGGAGCTGAGAACAGAAGAAGAACGAGTAGAACGCCAAGAGACAGAGCCAGAGCCAAGACTGAAGGTGTAACCCTGAGACGACCGCTGAGTAGCCTGGTCGTCTGCCCAAGAAGCGTCTGAGTGCCCAGTGAGAACAGGCCGGTCTCGCCCTCCAAGCACTAGCCCCATGCCCGACGTACTGCACAAGTAGCGCAACACCCTCTTAGCTGCATCCATGTGCTCCTTCCGGTGACGGCCGGGAGCAACATAGCGTGCTAAGATGCTGAGAGGGTATGCTAGGTCAGGTCGAGTGCAGGTCATCAGGTACATGAGGCAGCCCACAAGCTCTGGATACGGACCACTCGACTCTACGGACTCATCCGAAGGCAGAGCTGAGAGCGAGTGACCCGTAGGCAGAGGAGTGGACTGAGGCGAGGAGTACGTGAAGCCGAAGCGCTGAAGGACCTGCTGCACCATGTGTGACTGAGTCAGGGTAATGGTGCGGCGTGCTCTGTCCCGGGTGATCCGCAAGCCAAGATAGCTTGTCAGTTCACCCAGGTCTGTGCACGTGTGTCTCTTCTGCAGCTCGGACTTCACGTGGGCGAGTGCGGCAGTGTCCGCAGTGGCAAAGACCAAGTCGTCGACGTACACGAGGATGTAGAACGGCGACAGCGAGGTGTCGGTGCGCAGAAACAGCGACGGGTCAGCAGTAGAAGGAGCAAACCCAAGAGCCGCAAGTGTAGTCCTCAGTGTGTCGTGCCACTCACGCGGCGCCTGGCGGAGACCGTAGACTGGCCGCCGGAGGCTCCACTGGGTGCCAGGAGGGAAAGACCCAGTGAAGCCAGGTGGGCGGCGCAGCCAGATCTCCTCGTGCAGGCTGCCCTGCAAGAAAGCTGTGCTGAAGTCAAGAGAGTGGAGCTCGTAGTCACGCTGAGCGGCGACGTGTAGCAGAACCCGAAGAGTGGTCATCTTCGGGGTGGGGGAGAAGGTCTGGAAGAAGTCAACTCCCTCTCGCTGACTGAAGCCTCGTGCAACGTAACGCGCCTTGAAGACAGGCGGAGAGCCTGGCGGCCGCTTCACCCTGAAAATCCACATGCCACTGACGATGTTCGCCCCAGGTGGGGGAACGTCGTCGACGTAGGTGTCTGTGGACTTCCAGGAAGCCATCTCTGTGTCCATGGCTGACTGCCACTGAGAGGAGTAGGGACCGGCCATCGCCTCTGCGTAAGAGCGTGGGGTCGGGATGTCTGGTGCATCCGGGTCTCCCTCAGGGGCAACAAGCATGGACACGAGATGGGGCAAAGCAGCGGCAAGGCAACCAAACTCCTCCTGCCTGTCCTCAAGGACGTCCGTGCCAAGAGCACACTCACCCCCGACGGACGGAGGACAGGCAGACTCAGACTCAGCAACAAGACTCGCTGCGTAGTCTAGACGACACGCAGCTGCAAAGTCGACAAGCTCAGTGACTAGGGCAGACGCAGCAGCGGACTCAAAGGAAGGGTCAGTGACAACCGTAGCCAGGAGACGTGTGACAGTAGGACTGGCAGCGCGAAGGGAGTCTGACTCCGGGTCAGCAAGAGCAGGAAGAGAGGACGCAGGAGGCGACGGGAGAGCAACACGCTGCGGAGTAGTGGACTGACGAAGCGCCATCCGGTGCGTGCCTGGGACAGCAGGAGGACGCTCACGCGGGACACGACTACCAGTGGTAGTAGCTCGAACAGGCGACGCTCGACGAGACGCAGGTGACACAGGACGTGACGCAGGCTCACGTCTCTCAGCAAGACCGTCAGTCGGACCAGTGTAAGGAGCAGGCACAGGGAGTGGGGAGGCAGGCGGTAACTGTGGCTGGGACTGGACACGCTCAGGCTCCGCACGCTCAGGCTCCGCACGCTCAGGCTCC